TGTAACAGCTTATTCCACAACTGTTTCTTAAATGTATTGGTTATCAAATGCGTGTGTAACAGCTTATTCCACAACTGTTTCTTAAATGTATTGGTTATCAAATGCGTGTGTAACAGCTGCCTAAAACTAGGAGCCCCAAAGGGAACGTGTACAGCGGGCTCCTTCCCCTGGGCGGAGCTTCCAGCTGAGTTGGACAGCAGTTTCCGAAGGGACTCAGCTTAATGACAGCCCAAGTCTGTGTGGGGTTCAGCCCTGCACAGCTGCTAATTTCAGAAAATGGATGTGAGCAACATCATCGGAGCGGGATTTGAACTGCACTGGAAGTGGGGAACCACGGCGGAGGGAAAGCCTTTCCATCAGGACAACCTGCAGGGTCGAGTGAGAGTCCCAACATCGGAGATGCTTGAGGTTCTCCTAATCTGGAGTCATAAAGAGGTGTGGTTTGGGAGGGAGAGTGTGGGGAGAGCTTGTGGCTGGTTACAAGAGTGCCCAGGAAGGGGTAATTCTTGGAAATCCCTGAACCAGGAAGTGGCAGGGGGAAGTCGGAGGGCCTGGTTATTGACACTGTGTGCTAGGTCGGGGAGAGGAAAGGTCAGGTGGGAAGTTATTGCGAGAGTGAGACAGTCCGTTGAAAAGGACTGGACTGACCGAGGCGCACGTAAAGCACGCTACAGGAAGCTATGCAGGGGTGACACGGACACCTGAGACAGCGTGCAGCTGAGGGGACAGGCCCTCTCCAACCCCGCCCCTCCTCTGTGGATCACTTGCTCCAGTGGCTCGGAGGACTCAGGAAACACTGTTAGCAGTTTTCCCTAAAGGGTATTGCGAAGAACACAGATGACAAATGCATAGGACAGGTATGTGGCAAGGGCTGGGGCGTCCACGCAGCCTCCTGCTCCCGGGAAGCTCCAGAACCCCACCCTCTCGTTCAGGGGCTGCATTGTGGCTGGGAGATGAGACAGACCCGCGGGCGCCCAGCAAGCTTCTCCGATCAGATCCTCGCTTCCTGCAGGCTCCTTCCTGCCACGTGTGGGCAGGAAAGGCGAGGTTGGCGTTGAGGGTGGGGACTGGAGTTTCTGTGGCTTGCCTGGGGCTGGTTTCTGGGGCTTGTCCTGGGGGAAAGAAGGAGCAGGTGAAAGGACAGGAGAAGGTCAGGCCGTCTTTGACCCTTATCTCCCTGAAAATGTCCTGAAGCTACTTCAGGAACCAAGGCAGAGATCCCTGAGCAGGAACCGTGGACAAACCCAAAGCAAAGGTATCAGTCATTTCAGGAAGGCATCCTTAGGAGCAGCCGCACTTCACATTTTTGCATCTTTTCCTGAGAATGTCTTACATAGATATCAGTTGTATGCTGTTGTATGTTTTGGCTTTTTATACTTAAACAGAACCGAAACCCAAAACTGCTGTGAGAATTAGAATTCGTACACACATTCTTGAAAGGTATGAATGTGGGAAACAGCAGTTAGAGTAATGGCTATGTCACTGGACTCCCACGTAGTTGACCGCAGTTTGAGTCCCAGACCCGGTGGCTTAAATTCACGCCGGACACATGTGTGTGCATGCCCAAGATCCCGAGAGGAGAATGGAGGGGAAAGGATTGTGGTGTGTCCATTCCCCTGGGGGGTGATTTCTTGCTTTCTGTCTCTCTCTGTCTTTCTGGCGAATGCACGTGCACTATAGCAAAGACCTCTCCAAATAATAATAATAATAATAATAATAATAATAATGATAGTGATAATGAAAAGACGGTCTCCAATAATGAACTAGCTTTTCGTTACATGTGCCACACGACGGATCAATTATTTAGCCATCTGGAGGCATTTGCTTTGTAACCCTGTATCGAGCAGATGTCACAGGAAGTGTAATGGCTTGAGGTGAGCTACTTTATCAGTGACTTTCTCTTACTAGCAGGTCTATTAGGCATGATTTTGCTAACAGCTGCTCCGTAAATGTTCTAGGCTGACACGTGCACGACTGTTCGTTAGCGAAACCTTTGGGGCCATATTGCCCTTTTGTCTGTATTAGAACAAATGTAAAATTGCTCCAGAAGAAAATCTTGGCTTAGCCCACAGGTATTTCCTGTTTCTTGAATTTTTCCAAAACAACATTAGCTCTAGCCCAAGTTCTGAGAAATCCTAATGCAAATGAACAAGCTCTAAGTTGCCAATGTAGCTCTTTGCTTTGCGGAAATCAGAAATGCTTCTTTGGGAGCAGTCGTGTTTACAAAGGGCTTCCTGACGACTCTGCGCTGTTTGACTGATCTAAATCTTGTCTTTAGAGAAAAATGAGCGGAAACTTTTCTTTACATGGTCTTCTTTGGGTTCTCGGGATCATTTTCTTGAACTACAGTTTATGACCACACACAGCCCACATCCAGGGGTGGTAGGAGGGTGGTAGGGCTTTTACTGGGGGACGTGGCTGCTTACGCATCACACCTGTCCTCTTCACCGGGCCTGCGGAGTTTCAGTACCGCGAATAACCGTGCTCCTCTTGAGCAACTCGTTTGTTTTATAACCTTGTGGGCATTGTGAGTTGTGTAATTGAAAATGCTTCCTTCAGTCGTTGCGTCGGTTGCTTTAATATGGGGAGGCATACTCACAGCAAGCGCCCAGGCCCTGAGCTGTGTATGTTGTGTTACTCCAACTTCTTAGTTCCTCTCTGGCTGGTTACTGCATTTCTCTCTTCTGATACTGTTCATATTTTCTCAGTCACCTTCGATCTTTTCTGAATACAAGGAATAATAAAACATAGAAAGCATAATCGTCCCTGATAACAGATCATAAAGGTTAGTTTTTTTTTTTTTTTAGAGAGAGATTTTTGCCATAGGGCTTGTGCGCTTGCCAGACAGACAGAGAGAGACATAGAGACAGAAAGCGAGAAATCACCCCCCAGGGGGGATGGTCACGCCACAATCCCTTCTCCTCCATTCTCCTCTCCAGATCTTGGGCATGTACGCACATGCACCCGGCATGAGTTTAAGCCACCGGGTCCGGGACTCG